GATTGAGCCTACTTGCTATATGACCCAGCAACTCCTTCATCTACATATCTAACCAGGAATAACAGAAACATCCAAATCCAAATTAAGCACATAAATTAGGATTAAAAAAACAAAACAAAACAAAAAAACCAAAGAGCTGCAGAGATGACTCAGCAGTTCCGAGCACCAGCTGCTCTTCCACAGAACACTGGTTCAATTCCCAGCACCCACACAGTGGCTGTAACTACAGTCCCAAGGGAAATCAGGCTCCCTGTTCTGACGTCTGTGTGTACCAGACACATTGCATTGGTGCACCCACATACATGCAGATAAAACATATATACATATAAAATAATTTTTTTCTTAGTTTTTTGAGACAGGGTTTCTCTGTGTATTGGCTGTCCTGGACTCGCTTTGTAAACCAGGCTGGCCTCAAACTCATAGAGTTTGAGTGCTGGGATTACAGGCATGTGCCACCATGCCCGGCTAAATAAAAATAGTTTTTAAAAATTGTTTTAAGCTGCGTAGTATGGTAGTGCAGGCAGAGGCAAGTGGACAGCCTGGTCTACAGCATGAGTTCCAGAAGAGCCAGGGCTGTTACACAGAGAAACTCTGTCTCAAAAAAACAATAAATATAGACAGACAGACAGTTTTAAGGGGACAGTGGTGGCGCATGCCTTTAATCCCAACACTTGGGAGGCAGAGGCAGGCAGGATCTCTGTGAGTTCAAGGCCAGCCTTGTCTACAGAGTGAGGTCCAGGACAGCCAGGGCTACTGAGAAACCCTGTCTTGAAAACCTCCCCCCCCAAAAAAAAAAAAAAAAAAAAAGAAAAAAAGGAAAGAAAGAAAGTAAAAACCAAACAAGGTATAAAGTCCTCAACAGTGGCTGTCTTTTTATCTTTTTGTAAATAACACTATATATTGAGCAGTCAAGAAGAAGAAAGGTGAGGCTTTTTAAAAAGCTCGAGTGTCCTTGCATTATATATTTCTTTAATGGTGGACCTTTGGGTTATTTGCAACAGGGTTCTATCCTGCAGCCTGTGCATCCTACAACTCCCCAAACAGACCACGCTGACCTTCAACTTGTGGTGATCCGAATGCTTTGCCTCTGATAAAAGAGAATTTCAAAAAGAATCGTTTTTCCTTTGTTTTTTGGAATAGGGTCTTCTAGAACTCACTATGTAGTTCAAGCTGGCTTCAAACTTTCCTAAGTGCTTGGAACAGGAGTGACCCACCATAGCCCAATACAGCGGGGTCATCAAGAGAAAGCAAACTAAGTTTAGAGATAATCCTTTTCAAATGGTAGATGTACACTTTTTGAGAATGAGAGTAATCACTGACTTTTACTCTTTACCCTCAATTTATAAAAACAGATGTGGACAGGCTTTTGTGTGTTTTAAATGATGTACATACAATGTTGGATTATATAAAATTAGAAAAAAGTGCTGGAAGTGGAGGTGCATGCTTTTAATCCCAGCACTCAGAAAGAGGCAGGGGGATAGATCTCTGAGTTCAAACTTGCCTGGTCTACAGAGTGAGTTCCAGGATAGCCAGGGCTATGTAGAGAGACCCTGTCTCAAAAACAAAGAATATCAGGAAAGTGTTTGAGCCAAGCGAGGTGGTGCATGCATTTAATCCCAGCACTCGGGAAGCAGAGGCAGGTGGATCTCCGTGAGTTTGAGGCTAGCCTGGTCTACAAATGGAGTCCGGGACAGCAAGGCTACACAAAGAAACAACAACAAAAAACAAACAAATAAACAAAAACATCTAAATGGTGTGGTAGTTTGAATGAGAACATTCCCTATGTGCACGTGTATTTGAACACCTGGTCCTCTTTGATGCCGCTTGGGAAGTTGAGAGGTGTGACCTTGCTGGAGGAAGGGTGCCATGAGGGTGGGCTTTCAGTTTAAAGACTCTGGCCTTTTCCTCTCAGTTCATTTTCTCTGCTTCTTGCTTAAGGTTCAGATGTGAGCTCTCAGCTTGCTGCTCCAGCCACAAGGCTGCTGTCATGCCTCCTTGCCATGATGGTGAGAAACTTTTAGCACTCTGGGACTGTGAGTTCAAATACAGGGCTTACAGCTCTGTAATTGTTAGTCCTTACAGAGGGCTGAGCCTGATAGCCTGACAATCTGAGTTTATTTCTTGAGGGTCCCAAGTGGTAGGACAGAACCAACTAGCACAGGTTATTTTCTGACCTCCACATGCACATTATGGCACATGTGCACCCATAAAGACACAGAGATGCACCCACAAAAGGGAAATAAAGAAATACAATTGTGGAAAATACCTAATTAATGAGGGATATTTTATTCAGACACTTTCTATTCCTGATCCCAGATTCTTCAGCCCTAAAACTCCTGTGAAACTGGTTTGCTTTCTTTTCCACAGCACACTGAAGCCCTTACTGATAGGTACTACCCACTTGAGAAATCAAACCACACCTTCTAAACCTCCACCTTTGTATTATCTCGGAGATCTTACACTTCTGTCTACAGAAGTCACACAAAACATGCTACGTCATGTTCTGGTTAATCCAAAGAACCACTGTTATAACCCTTTTCCTCAAGCATTCAGACTGGCTCTTTATCAGTATTAAAACACAAAACAACAACAACCAAAAACAAAGAGAAAACAAGCTGAGTGGTATAAATCTTTAGCCCCAGCACCCAGAGAGGCAGAGGCAGGTGGATGGATTTCTGTGAGTCTGAGGCCAGCCTGGTCTACAAAGCGAGTCCAGGACAGCCAAGGCTACACAGAGAAACCCTGTCTGAGAGAACAAAAAACAAAACAAAACAAAAAAATAAAAAACAAACAAAAAAAACATTACCTAAGCTAACGCTTGGCTTTAATCCCAAGAGGCAGAGGCAGGTGGATCTCTATGAGTTCAAGGCCAGCCTAATCTACAGAGTTCCAGGGTAGCCAAAGCTACACAGAAAAACCCTGTCTCAGAAAACAAAACAAACAAAAAAAGAGAAACATTGCTCAGTATATAAAATCATATATACATTGAAGAATGACAAAAAAACAAAACAAAACAAAACAAAAAACAGAGTATGAAGGGATATGTAAGAGAATTTGAGGAAGGAAAAAAAGAAATATTGGCATTATGTCCTAATCTCAAAAAAAAAATTGAATAATCTTTTACTGTCACCTAACACTGTTCTTATTTCTGCTACTTTGAGCCCCATTTTTTTTTTTTTTTTTTTAGTATTTTAAGATAGGGGTTTAGGGGCTTCTCTGTAGCTTTAGCTGTCCTGGACTAACTCTGTACCCCAGGCTGGCCTGAACTCACAGCCATCTGCTTACCTCCGCCTCCCAGAGTGCTGGATTATGGCATGGCCACCACACCTGGCTTTCTTTCATGTTTTGGTTTTTTGAGACAGTGTTTCTCTATGTAACTCTGTTCTACGACTTACTCTGTAGATCAGGCTGCCCTCTAACTCACAGAGCTCCATCTGCCTCTGCTAGGCTCCAGCTTTATTTCTTTTTAAAGGAAAACTAATGTAGCTAATTTATTTTAATTTGACTGGTGTCTTTGTTTCCAAAGCACCAAGAAGCAAATCCCAGATCAGAAGCATAGTGGGCACAGCATTTTACCAATGAACTATATCCCTAAACCCCTAAATAATCTACTCTCACGTGTAGATCCACTACTCCAAAAAACTAGAGAACCCCACAGCTATAAAACTGGGCAATACAACATCACAGAAGGAAGGAGGAATGCCCTTCATCCTCCCCAAGTGATCACTGGATGTTCCTAAGAGAAAATGAAGAACTAAGCAATGAACAAAAAACTTGCTTTCAAACACAAAATATTCTTTTCTAAACTGTGTCTACTACTGCTTGGAACCCAGTGTCCACTCTGTCTTCGGACTCCAAAATCAAGGATATCTGCCTCTTTCACTATATACCCCCTTTTTATTCTTAGGCCCTGCAAAGGAAATGTCTAAACAAGACTGAAAACACTAGACCAGCCTGTAGCGCTGAGTGGAAACAACACTGCAGATTGTTCATTCCCAAGATGGGCAATGTTGAAGAGCACACCTAACTAAGCCACGGTAGGAATCTGGGCTTCTTTGGAGAATACTGTACGTGACAATAAAAGGAGGGACATAAATAAGACTTCTTAATCCCGCTTCACATTTTCCACAGAAGTTTCAGATTAGCTATTAGTACAGATTTGGTGCCAACTGCTTCCATCTTGCAAATAGTAATTTCATCTGTAAAACACCTGTACTGATAGTGCTCTCCTCTCACAATTACTGTGAAGATCAAGGGACACACGCACAGTGAATCACACAAAGCCTCTCACACAGAAAGGCTAAAGGAAACCTGAAGTATGCAGTGTCCCTGCCTTCAATGAGAGGCGGGGGGGCCTTTGTTTTAGGTTTCATGGGACAATGATATGCATGTTTACCCCACTCATTCATTTAACATTTCAATTTACAAACTTAAGAAACAGATTTAATAAAAACCAAAGTAACCAGGGGCCAAAATACAACTTCATAACAACAACAAAAATCTTCAAGACTCACTATGCTGATTAAAAAACCATGAAACTTCAGCATAACGCAAATTCGGCTCTAATTATAAGCAGCTAGCCCCCTTCAAATTCGAGTCGACACTGTTCTCTTTTTTTCTCTCCAGACACTACAGAACTCTTTTCATTTAGTTTATACACAGCTTCTTCGATACCAAAACCTTTTGGAAGCCCGGCTCGGAGAAAGCCTCACTGTTTACAGTGTTAGAAAGAATGGTCACTCTAGGCCAACTGTCACTGTCACCAGCACGCCTGGCTGTCTCACGGGACTTGGGTAATGCACAAGTGTGGGGGTGCTGAAACAAAGTCGACAGCTAGGGCGCCCTAAAGGGGGAGAGGGTGAACTAACTGGGCGTCGCACAGAAGAGTCTCATCTGTGGGGGACTCGGGGCTCCCGGGGCTGATCAACTCCGGGGGGTGCAGGAAAGGGACGCAGGTGGCATTCTCCTAGGGCCGCCGCCTCCCTTCAGCCCCCCAGTACCTTTCTCTTCCTCGTCGATGCGCAGGGCAATGGAGATGTACTCGAAGGCCTGTTTGTGGAAGACGCGGACGCTCTCGGCCTCGCCGCCCGGCCCGGGCGCTGGGAGAGAGGGCGAGGCGGGCGCCGGCGCGGTCCCGGAGCTCCTCTTGGCGGCCATGAGGGCGCGGGAGAGGCGCTGGCAGAGCCACACGAAGAGGAGCCCCAGGCGGCAGGCCAGCAGGCGCAGCAGGGCGAAGCCGGCGAGCAGCGGGGACCAGAAGTAATACAGGTTCCGCTCAGGCGGCGAGCCGGGCGCGGGGGCCGGGCCGGCGGCAGGGGCGGGGACCGCGGCGGGGGGGCGGAGGCCTGGCGGCCGCGGGGCTCGCGCCGCCCGAGCCTTTCTTCTTCCGTCGTCCGGCCGGAGAACTCATTCACGGCTCCCACTGCCGCCGCCGCCATAACCCGCCTCCCGCACAAGCACGGCGACCGAGCGGCGGCGGCGGCGGCCACCACTGCGGCGCGGCGGGGCCCACGGAGCCGCACGCGCGCCCGCGGAGCCCGGAGCCCGGCACCTGCACGCGCCGCTCCTCAGCCCCGCCCCTTCCTCCTCGGCCGGCCAGGAGCACAACCCCTTCTCCTCCTCCTGTCCTCGTCCTCCTCCTCCCGCGGCCGGTGGCTCCCACCCCTCCTTTCCCCTGTCCTCTGTCCCGCGGGCTCCTCTCAGCGGCGCCCGTGCACGCGCACGTCCTCGGTGTCTGGCTCCGGGGCGCGCGCGCACGCCGCCGTCTTTGTTGACCTGGGAGCTTGCGCGCATGTGCGGCATATCCCCTTCTACGCCCCTTTCTCCGGGGACCTCGGTTCTGTAGGGGCGGTTCCGCTCGAGCGGGTCCCTGGGGCCCGTCGCTCAGCCGATTCTGAGGAGTCAGTGTTCTGAGGAGTCAGAATAGGGTGCTTCGATAGTAACCTTACCAATGGGGGTTGCGGCGTGGGCGGCTTGACTAGTCCTTAGATTTGCTCTCTTGCAGTGACATTTGCCTTTGTTTAGAGTAGGGTCTCTTCTAGTCCAGGCAGACCTCCAACTCTTGTTCATGGAAGGCCATGAACTCCTGATCCTTCTGCCTCCATCGCCCCAAAACTACGATTACAGGTGTGCATCATTACTCCTATTTTCTTATATCTTTGTTTTCTGCTAGTTAAGTCTTTTTTTGCAAAGAATGGCCGATTTGAGTTTCATATCAGAGGCAGTATGTAGCAATTTGGGTTTATTATCTGAGAAGGAAGCAGTTAGCTGCAGAGACAAAGTTCAGGACATCCTAAACGAAAAACGTTATTACCACAAGGGCCACGAGTCCTGCGTTTAACTAGCATATTACGTGTCTGTGTAATCTCAGGATTAATCATGTGAATGAGGTCATTCTTGGGTTTTGCAGTTTACCGTACTATGGTTTTCTAAGGAATCCATACTATCTGCGTGTGCACGCATATGTGTGTGTGCATATGTCTTCGTCGTTTCTTCATTCCTTTGGAAGACTATTTCCAAAGGACTATGTTTCTTTCCGATATTGTAATGAGCAGCAATTGCTGCACAGATCCCAGATCACACAGGAGGAAACAAACAATAGGCCAATCAGACTCCTGGGAACTGGCATCTGAAACAGAAGGTAGCTGAAATCAATCGAGAGCTGTTAAGAGCTGGTCAGTCCCATTGAGATCCCGACATCTTTTGGGTTCCTAGACTATGTAGCCTATGAGATAAACTATTCAGTCGTTTCTTTTTCTCCCTCCCTGTCCTATATGCTCCTCCCCTCCCCAATCTTTCTGTCTTTAAAAACAAACAAACAAAAAAACACAAACCTCCCCCCATTATTTCAGTTAGCCACAATTGTTTCTTGTTGCCTAAACCAGTGAATACTGATACAAAGTCCCTATTGTTTCCAGTGTGAGGCATCCCCTGTGAGAACATCCAAGAATCCCCACATTCTGCTGAAACTTTATTCCCTACCAATAAAAGTATCATAGGTTGCTGCAAAATTTGCCTCTACTGATTCCCACGTGCTGCCTGCCTTCTTTTCTGCCTCTGTCCTGATAGTTTCACATTCTGAAATACTGTCTCTCTTTCAAATTTGTATCCCTTTAAATCCTTTTATTCAGTAAACCCCGATTCTCTTCTGAACCCATTGTAGTGGTTGTGTGAAATATATCTCATATGTGTGTGTCAAGTAAATAAAAATAAGATGTAAAGTATGTATATGTTACATAAGTAAATAAAGATGTAAGAAATGTATTTATGCATATATCAAATAAATAAAAATAAGATGTAAAAACATATGTACAATTTGAGGAAGATAGCAGACCAAATCTTTAACTCTAGGGGAAGCTGCTACTGTCCTGAATGGCGTATTAATCCTTCTTGTGCTTGTCCCAGCAGTCTTTTAATAAAACTTTTTTTGGTTTGCTTTTTTTTTTTCTTCTTTCTCTTGAGACAGGGTTTCTGTCCTGGAACACACTCTGTAGATCAGGCTTGCCTCGTACTTAGAGATCTGCCTGCCTTTGCCTCCGAGTGCTAGGATTAAAGGCATGAGCCACCATCTTTAACCAGCTTGCCCTGCTTTGTTTTTTTGTGGCAGAGTCTATGTAAACCAGGTGGGCCTCAAAACTCACAGAGATCCTCCTGCCTCTCTCTCCCAAGTTCTTGGATTAAAAGCATGCAGCACTATTCCTGGCAAACTTAAGCGTTTCTAAACAATATCTTGTGTAGTTTTACCTGTACTGCCTTGACTTTATATAAATGTTATATTCTTAATTTGGTTTTTCTTTCCATTCATTAAGTGGTTGAATTTTCTCTCATTGACTTTTATAGCTATTTCTGGTGGTAACAGTTGCACTGCATTTATTTTCTTTCGTTGCTATGTAGTATTGTATTATTCTAGTTTACCACACTTTATTTTACCATGCAAGTGGTAATAGAAATTTAATACAGTACAAGACTTTTGTTCCTTAAGTCACTTTTTTCTTCAGGCCTGGAAAGCTAACCTTTCAATACTAAGCAAGTCTTCTACCACTGAGCTACACCCCCAGGCCTGGTTTGGCTCAACAGTAGTTCAAAGTCATCTTTGTCTGCATAGCAAATTCCATGCCACTTTGAACTGCAGGAGACCCTTCCTCTAAAAAATAAAAACAGGGGGTACTGACATGGCACATGGAATAAAAATGTTTGCCCACAAGTTTGATGACCTGAGTTTGAACCCCAAAACTCAAAAGAGGAGAAAACTAACTTCCAGAAGTTGTCCTTTGATCTCCAAATGTACTTCTCAGCCCCCACCATACATGTACAGGCAAAACAAAGCAAAAACAACAAAAACAGACATGCTCCATCACTTTCCTGGATCTTGACCTAGTGACTCAGCTTCCAGGTCATTACATAATAATTAGTGCAGCAACAGTGCCTGACATCAAATTGATGTTTGTTGAATGAAGAATGGTCCTCCCACATCTCCTGGATGCTTACACAGTAATCTAACTAAAATGGATTATTCTGAGGCATCTCAGATTCTTTTTCTTTCCTAGAACATAGTTGTCTTAGGTCATTTTCTTTTATTTGGTATGCCTTCTCCTTCTACCTCACTACCAAAATCTTTCAAGGTTTTTCTGACATTATCTTCTTGATAAGTCTCTGCCTTAGCCCCTCAAGCAAAAATGTTTCTACATTTAAATTCTTAGACAAGGGCTGGAGAGATGGCTCAGAGGTTAAGAGCACTGCTTCTTCTTCCAAAGGTCCTGAGTTCAATTCCCAGCAACCACACAGTGGCTCACAACCATTTATAATGAGAACCATGCCCTCTTCTGGCTTGCAGTCACACATGCAGACAGAATAATGTATAAATAAATAAATAAATCTTTAAGAAAATTCTTAGACAATGGAGAAGTGATACACTATGACTCTTTATGCTATGCTGTCCTTTGTGATAGTTATTTAAGCACGTATTTACCTCCTGATATACACTGTTAACTGATATAACACTGTTAGTGAAGCCTGGCCATACTTTATATATTGCCATCTCACTTTCTGTATTTAGCCTCATGTCTTGCATATGCTACTTATTTAATAAGTCTGAATAACTGGAAAAACAATCCATTCATGATGGCTGTAATAGATTTTTTTTCAGGGGGTAGGCAGGAGGGGATAATAGCCTATTCCAAAATGTACTGACTTAAAATAGTGGTTGTTTATTGAATCACAATTTCCTGAGTCAGCAGTTTCAGATGGGTTTAGTTAGGTGGGATTATTTTTTGTTTTTTTTTTTCCAGACAGGGTTTCTCTATGTAGCCTGGGCTGTCCTAGACTCACTTGTAGACCATGCTGGCCTCGAACTCACAGAGATTCATCTGCCTCTGCCTCCCCGAGTGAGGGAATTACAGATGTTGGCCAGCTAGGTGGTTCTTCTAATGACTGTACTTTGGGCAAACTCTATGCATTCAGTTTGACTGAATGGTTTGGATAGATTAGCCAACCTCAGTCAAATGTCTGGAGTTTGTTTGTAACTACTGGATTAGACATGCTTCTAGCAAGATAATTTAGACCCCCTGGGCCAGCAAAATGGCTCAGTGACTGTGGGTGCTTGCCACAAAGCCTGATGACCTCAGATTGATCCCTGGGAACCATATGGTAAAAGGAGAAAACGGACTCCTGCAAGTTATCCTCTGAACTCCATATGAACACAGCAGGACGTGTGCCTACACACAAAGATGACACACACACAAATAAATGGGGAGAAGATCATTTAAATTCCTTTCTAAGATATCTGGTTTCTAAGAGAGTATCGATACTAAACTCCAAATTTACACATTATCATTTCTGCTTCATTCTATTGTCAAAGCAAGTTGATGGCAAAGTTGAAAGGAAAGCATAAGGGAAGGATTACCGAGGCAATTTTTGGAAGTAATTCAGTATAAAGATTTTGTGTAGAATTTCCTCTGAACTTTGATTCAAATAGGAACTCAAACAGATTTTGTTATTGAAGAAACCATTTCCCAGGTATTTTTCTGAATCTTAATCCATGGCCTGGTGTGAGGGTGCAAACCTTTAATCCAAGTACTTGGAAGGCAAACACAGGCAGATCTCCCTGTGTTTGAGACCAGCTTGGTCTATATAGTAAGTTCTATAACAGGCCAGACTTCTACTAAGAAGCTGTCTCACAGACAATAGGGGTGTTGGAGGAGTGGCTCAGTGGTTGAGAGCACTTGTTGCTCTTGCTGAAGGCCTGTATTTGGTTCCTAGAACCCATATTTCTCAGCTCACAACTGCCCTTAACTCCAGTTCCAGAGGATATAACACTTTTCTTTTGGTACCTGCATGCTTGTGATGTACACAACACACACACACACACACACACACACACAAATAAATAAAAATACATTTTTAAAACACCATTTGCATAGAGGTGAATGCCTTTAATCCCATCACTTTGGAGGCAAAGATGGGTTGGGGGGTTGGGGAATGGAGATCTCTGACCACCCTGGTCTACAGAGCAAATTCCTGGACACCCAGGGCTCCACAAAGAAACTTTGTCTCCCCCATTCCCTCCAATAAAACCCATATTTTTAAAAAAGAACTTTGAGATTCTTAGGGCCTGCTATGTTCCCAAAATCACATATTAATTA